TGGGGGGGGGGGGTTGAAAGAAGGATGTTTGTTGTTGTTGATGATGATGAGGAGGATGGAGATTATGAAGTGGCCAAAATCACGCTAAAATCACACACACATACGTACAGACACACACACACGAACACACACACACACATATATACGTACACACATACTTTCATAATGTTCATAATGTTCATATACATATACTAATATGTATTTGCTTACATACATTCGTTTGTATTGTTTATATATATATATTTATAAATATTGTATATATATATATATATATGCGTGTGTTTGTGTGTATATGTGTGTGTGTGTGCGCGTGCGTGTGTGTGTTTATTTATTTATACGTATGTGATACGCACATGATATTGCTGTTGTTTATACCAGTGAAATGTGCTCCTGAGGTGTTATCTCATTGTGTTTAATCATTCGGTTTGATGGCTGGCGTCGGGGTATGTATTTGACGGTATTGTGCCTTCTTAGTATTTGTGTATATGTATGTATGTGTGTGTGTGTGAGTTAATAAAGTACTGTATGGAAAGAGTTTCCATCATCACGTAGGAGAATTACCTATATAGACACATAATACTTACATACACATATAAACACATACATATACAGTACATACATACAAACGCATACACACATATACACACATATACACATACACACACACATACACATACACACACACACATATATATACATATACATATAAACAAATACAATACAAATCATAAAAATTAAGACGCGCATGTCAATACCTATGACACGTGCGCGCCTGTAATCATACAAACAGCAAACATGGCGGCGTTCATTTGTTTATGTTTACGTTACGTCACGTGATATGATGACGACTTCCGGCTGGGTGCCTGGGTTTCGAAAGCACCCTCAACCCAATGTTGCGCAACTATTTCTCGCTAACGCTAAGAACGTTTTGTCCGTGTTCGTCTATGTTGATGTTCGTTATTATTATTATTATTATTATTAATACTATTATTATTACTATTATTACTGTAGATATGTGTGATTTGCTTTTGAGATACGCCTGTCTGTGTGTGTGTGTGCGTGTCTGTTTGTGTGTGTGTGCGTGTCTGTTTGTGTGTTTGAGTCTGTTTGAGTGTGTGTGTGTGTGTGTGTGTGTTTATAGATATGTTTGTGTGTATTTGTATGAATGTGTGTTCCTGTTTGTGTACGCGTGTGCGTGTGTATGTGTGTGTGTGTTTCTGAGCAAATGTTAACAATTAAATGTTAAATGATCATACGTTAGCTGTCATAAGTTTGGAAAACGTTGATAATAAACAAATGAACGTAAGAACCAGTAAGAGTAAAACGAAATAAAAGAACGAATGAACAGATGAACGAACATACAAACAGATGAACGAACGTACAAATGAATGAACGAGCGAACGAATAAACGAAAGATAACAAAGTGGTAACGAGGAACAAGTTAGCAGGATAAAAGCAAGAAACGGCAGAAGAATAG